TGCCAGCTGTTACTGCTGTTCGTTCAGGCTCTATTAAAAACTTTGCACATTAACTTCATTTCATTTATCAAATGCTCATCACTTAAAGTAGCCATTCCCGTTTTCAGCTTCTGTTTGTCTTCCTGCCACTCACTGCTGGAGCAGCTGGCTTCAACTTTTAACTTGCAACTTGATGCGGTGGCGCCTCAGTTTCTGAGCTGCTGCTGCTGCTGCTGCTGCTGCTTCTGCTGCTGCTGCTAATAAACAAATCAACTGCCGGCTGACAAAGTTATGCAAAGCGCATTAGTGACGCGCCGCATAGTGGGGCAAGGTGGGCGGCGTGGGCGTGTCAGCGGTGTCTTCATTTATTTCATGTCAGTTGCTGACAATTTTGATGGGTTGGCTGTGTGCATGGCCCCCGACAAACAGACGGTTAACATTTTTGTTGTTTTTTGTGGCGATGTCATAAAACTTGCCAAAGGTGTCCCTGTGCGTGCATGTGCACGAGTGTGTGTGTGTGTGTGTGTGTGTGGAATGCAAATTGGAATTGCAGAATGAGTAAAAAGTTTTTGCACATGAAGATGAAGATGATAATGATGATGATGATGATGATGATGATGATTTGAAGGCAGCGACTCGAACTACTTAAATGCAAATGCCAAGCCCCAGAAATTCAGTTGATGGCATATTTTAACCGCTTAACGACCAGGTTAACGGTAATTATATGAGGGCGTGCATATGTGTTTGTGTGTGTGTGTGTGTGTGTGTGTGTGTGTGTGTGGGTGTGGTTTTGCTGGCATGTAAATCCATCAGTATTCGTGGCCATTTTGCATGTTGTGGCAAAGAGGGAAAGAAAAGGGAGCGAGTGGGCGATGTAAATTGCTTGGCAAAGAGAAGGATTCGATGCTTGGGCATGCTGGCTGTCCAATGACCTCGTCCTTGTTGTCGCCTTGGCACTTCCTTTTGGCCATTTATTTTGCGGTCTGCCAGCCAGTCAGCTAGCCAGGAACAGAGAGAGAGAGCGCGAGAAAGTGAGAGAGAGAGAGAGACAGCCTGCAGCTGCATGTGGGCCATGTCCGTCACATCCTTCCGCACTGGACGCACGCAGGCATTTTATTGTGCGGCCAGCCCAGCAGCCGCTGATGTTGTTCGTGATGATGTTGCTCGTGATGATGTTGTTGATGATGATGATGATGATGATGTCGTCCTGGGGCATCCTTGCGAGGTGGTTAAATGTTAAATGCGCGCGAAATGAAATATGTTGCAACATTGTGCGCACAAGCAATTGAAATCCAATTTAAATTTTGACCAAATGAAGAAAAGAAGAAGAGGCAAATAAATCTTTCGCTTGGAATGAACTCAATTGCGCTTTGGCCCGCTTTCAAAACCTCTCGATGGTTCTTACCCTTGTCTCGCGAGCCCACCTTTACCTTTTTTCTCTTTTCTCGCCCTCTGCCTCCTGGGCTTATTTTGATGCCTTGCGCTTGTTCCGACTTTATTCCCTCTTTAATTTTGTAGGATTTCCGAGTGATTTTCCTTCGGTTTCTTCTTGATGATGTATCTTTAAATTGTTGCGAGCAGATGACTTTATTGATTCTTGGATTTGTTTGATGCCCGACTCATTTCTGCTTTCCATATATACTTCGTTGGCTCCCTTGGTATATTTGTGCTAATTACATCCAATTGGCCTTTAATTTCCTTTCATTTATCTCAACTTTGCTTTTGATATTTCACTTTGAACATCTCCGATTTTTTTTCTTGGCCAATATGGGCAGGGAGTAGATGGCCTATTGGCTCTTAATTTCCATTCATTTATCTCATCGTGGCTTCTATTAAGCCAAGCCCAGATAGAGAGATGCCTCTCAACATTTGCTTTTGCTATCGCCTCATTTACTACAACCATCCCCCCGCCCGTTACCCACACCCTGGTGTTGACAAGCTCCCGGTTCCCATTTAAAAACACGGCAACATTTAACGACATCGAAAATTTTCCAACATACACTAGAATTTTTAATGGTCTCACGAGACGTACATGAAAATTGGGTTATCGTCCCAGCCGTGACCTTTGGTTTGGCATCCAATCGTAAAAACTAACTAAATTACGAACTACTGGTGGTTAGGGTCTAATTTTGATAGAGCATTTTTATAGAACTGTCGCTGCGTCCAATGTATGGGAGAAAGCGGCACCAGACGTGTGCGAGCCATTTACCAAGTGCAACTAAGGCTCGGCCGCACGAATAGACACTCCGCATCACCTGACGAGATAGGGAACATAGCATCAATGGGCTAGCTTAATATAGGAGAAGTGTACATAAAGTAGAGTCCAGTTTTGCGGAACACATAATATTTACAGAACTCAAAGCCATTAAAGCTGGGTATTGCCGATAGGTCAAAGTTGGGATTGAAAATGCTTGTGCTTGAGCAATCCAACGATAGCTTGTGCTTGGATTTGTCCACATCCAAGTCAAGGCATTCATTATGGTTCTTTTGCCCATTTTCCTGTTGATGCTCCTCAATCACCACCGCAATCTGAGACGTTTGAGCTACTGGGCCGAGCATCTTTTGTTTCAGTTCGGCCAGCCAGCGCTCGGTGGCTTGATCTCCACATGTTAGCTGGATCCGCGAATGCCCCAAGAAACTGCAATGCTCAAATTTGGCTACCGTCTCGGCCACACGTCCCGTCAGCGATTGTATATTCAAGTCCGATTTCTTGCCCGTTACTAGCTCTACCTTGCGCTCGCCCATACCTTCGAATTTCTCGATGAGCAGCTTCACGTTCCGATTAGTATGCATGTTCATGCAGGAGGCATGCTTCTTATCCATCGCAAGTAAAAAGGAAAAACTCACACACACACAAAAAAAAAAAAAACAGAAAACAAACAAAAAAAATGTCGAAATGTGAAAACTAAATATTGGATATGTGAAATGTTTGGCTACTAAACAACAAATGCCATAAACAAAAAGTCAGTCACAGCCTGCTCGACTCACTGACAGCATACTGAGTTGGCCTCTCTCTCTCTCTCTCTCTCTCTCTCTCTCTCTCTCTCTCTCTCTCTCTCTCTTTCTCTCCCTCTCTCTCGCTCCCTTTTTTTGTGTATTGTCTGTCTTGACTTGTCCTGCCAGCACATCAATCACAATCACTGCGCCAACATTTATGGCTGCTTGTTGGCTGTCAGTCTTGGCATATTACACATACGCCCTGTACGCCTCGATGACAGCCAGAGGACAGAGTGCAGGAACGTTTGCGTGCAAGACAAGAGTCTCTCGTGTCACGTAGATTAAACACATTAACAAGACGTGCCAAGTCATCGCCTAAGGCTCCTAAGCGGACGCGGCTTATCAAACAGCCAGAGATAATCGCCGTCCAACTTGTTGGATGACTCAAGTATCCACAATTTCTTCATTTGAATGTTGATCATCATTTGGCCAATGAAATGCACATTTCACAGCGTTAGCTAAGTGGACTTCTGCCGGCTAGCCAGCCTTCAGTAACATTGCAAAAGCATCGACTATTGTAATTAACTGACCATGCAGGTCGGCGGTTCAATGTGAATCTTGCGAATAGTTCGAATATAGCCAGGCTGATCATATATTTGCTGGCTTTCTATTGTTGCCATGTGAACATGGAGGACATTTGCATGTACGTACACAATGTGAAAGGGGACAAAAGCATAAGTAGAGACATAGAAGTAGACAATATATTCAAGCATATTGTGGAAGTTCCTTGCTTAAAGTTTGTTGGCAAGCCATTGGCCCAATTAGTTGTTGTAACAAAATGAACAAATGAACTGCCATTAAATAACTACTTAAATGTATTCAAATGTAATAGAAGCAAGAATATGAGTATAGACTAAGAATAGCGCAAAATATTTAAGCATAAAGCTAGGTTGATTGTTTTAGTAAAGTGAACATTGAGGACGTGTAGGTCATTTAAATGGTGTTTTAGTCTCGAGTGTTGTATGCATTTAAAATATAGATAGAAGCATTTAGCAAAATTATAGATATAGCATGTAAATATATAGTAAAGTGATATGGAGTACAAATGGAGTATAGTATTTGCTTTTAATAATTCATTGACGTACCATTGTCTGCGTTGATTATTGTAATAAAATGACCATGAAAGATGTATGGATTTGTTTGACTAGTGTAATATAATTTGAGCGTCGTACTTACCTGAAAGTAAACAAAAAAAATGTATTTATAGCGTTGTGCAATAAACTGAACATGAAGGACAAGAGTACATGCATAGACAATTGGTTAAGGGTACAATATTTATTAATATTGCGAATTTTTCTACTCAAAACTCTTTAGACATACCTTTGATTGTTGTTATAAAGTGTCCATGGATGACGTGTGGGTTAATTTGTTGCAGTCTCAAAAGTTGCGCGTGGCTAAAAGTGAAAACAGGAAACCATGTTTAAAACACAATAATTAGCAAAAATAAATGATCTATAGTATAAGGCAATAAACTGCACATGGATGCAATATTAACATAGTAAATGCGTAGCAAATGAATATAAAAATGGTTAAAGCGAAACCATCGGCTGTTGAATGAACTGCAACATAATGTTGCATTCAGCTTGTGGCTGCCAGTTGCGCAAACCCCAAGCCACAATTCCAACCGAATGGCTAATTCCGTTCGTGTCCCCAGGTAGCTAGTAAACGGCCTGTCATACAATTTGCATGATGATTTTCAACTTCTGCCTGATTAGCTGACAGGCAGCAGCTAGTATGTGTGTGAGGCTGTGTGTGTGCTCACCTATTGTTTCATCATTTCATTGCCACCCTTCAGGCCCAGCCCCAGGTCCATTCAGAGCCGGGCACGTCGGGGCCGTTAGCCAGAAGCAGAGAAATTAGAAATTAGAAACGTGCCAATTTGAATGTGAATGCGAATACGAATGCGAATGTTGACGGCATCGATCGGGGCACATGGCTGGCACCAATTGGACGCATCCAATTGAACTGCATTCAACGAGTAAATTGTTTAATTATCATTTTGCTCTTTTCAATTGTATTTGCAGCGTATTCCGAACGGGCTGCAGCAGGACGCGCAACGCCGGGCAGTAGGACAAACGGAGGTCTGGCACAAATGCGTCTAATCAACAAAATCGAATGTTTGCCGCAACCGCTGAGCGTGATACGGGCTAACTAGAGTGCGGACAGAGAACCCATAATTGGCCCCAGCTGCTGGACATTCAATAGCAGGAGCAGTACTTAAAGTCCAAAGCAGTCGCAACCAAGGCCGTCAAATTGGAAGGAAAACGCCTTTTCACGGCAGTTAACAAGTTTTTAACTGGTTCAACCATTGCCCGTGAGCTGAGGCAGCTAATGGTAAGTGGTGAGGCCCCATCCCGTTGACCCTCTAAGGGATATTATTTTCCCCGATTTCTTAAAGACGAACGAAGTATGACTGTATGGCTTCGCCTGTCTATTTCTCTGCAAGCAAGTCTTTTAAGTATATAAACTTTAAACATTTAATGATACACATATAAATAGCTCGCGTTTAAGCAATCGCATGAAATTGAAGCACGGAATCCGTTTTTCTCTTTAAGCAATTTCCCAATCAAACTCTCAAATGATGAGCCCTATTTTAGGTTTCGGCAAAGCTTAATATCAGACTCTGTCAAGCTGAAACAGCTTCCATTAACGGACAAAATGAAGATCTTAGAAATTGTTAAGCATATTTGGTTAGTTTCCTTTTAGACACAAGGTAACATATTCATGCCATAAGTGCTGAGAGTTTGGCAATTAAATAGCTGACTATTTGAAGCAATTTCTTGCTTATTTCGTATCAATTGGCTTTTTGGCATATTGTATAACATTTGGGCATGCGAATATCGGCATAGGACAGCACAGATAGAGCTATGAGGGAAATAGGTATATCAGACAGTTGTGACACGTCTGCCAGGGTATTTTTTGGCTGCTGCATATAAAAAAGTTGCTCACTTTTCCGATAGACGAGGAACGCGCCGCTTAGTGGCGATGAACCCGACGAAGAGCAGTTGGCGGAGGGCACAGACGACGAGCAGGAGCAGCAGGAGCAGCAGCCGGCTGTTGGCCCAGAACGGCACAAAAACGAGCTGCATGGCCAGCAGCCAGCGGCAAAGCCACCGCAACGTCGTCAAAGACAACGCAAGAAAGTGATAACCCAACAGAAACAACAACAGCAGCAGCAGCAACAAAAACAACCACGTGGCGCTAGCAATGCTGCCTCCGATGCGGATACGGACTCCAGTTCTTGCGAGGCGGCCAGCGGCGGCACGACTTCGGGCGCAACGCGGCACAGCTCTCGAGTCAGCTATGCGCAGCGGAATCTTGGCGAGAATGTGGTCTACGAGCAGTATAACGATGAAGATGCAGATGACTACGACGAGGAGGAGGAAGAGGAGGAGGAGGAGGAGGAGGGGGAGGAGGATGGCGAGGACTACGACAACTACGAGCAGCTGGCCACGCAGCGTGCACCCTTGAAAGCAGCGCTGAGCGTGCGAGCAACTGCACCAGCTGGCAAGGCTGCAGTAGATATGGGCACTGAGACTGGAACATTGCGGAGCAAGCGCAAAGCGAAAACACGCCAATTCTCGCAGCGGGCCAGCTCCTATGCGGTAGATGCTGGCCATGGCGAGGCGGATGCGGATGCGCTGGACAAGCGTCGTTGCATCTCGAAAGGACAAATGCGTGGTATGTTAAAGTTTATATTGGGGCTCGACCGACCGACCGACCGACTGTTAATTTGTTGTCCACATATGCCATACAGAGTTCCGTGAGGCATTCCGTCTGTTCGACAAGGATGGCGACGGCTGCATAACCAAGGAAGAGCTGGGCACAGTTATGCGCTCGCTGGGGCAATTTGCGCGTGTCGAGGAGCTGCAGGAGATGCTGCAGGAGATTGATGTGGACGGTGGGTAGACCCAACTATCTAGCGCTCAACTGCGGCGCTTCTTGTCTTTCTCTCTATCCCTATCTCTATCCGTGCACCCTTGCAGGTGACGGCAATGTCAGCTTCGAGGAGTTCGTCGACATACTCTCCAACATGACCTACGAGGACAAGTCGGGCCTATCCTCGGCCGACCAGGAGGAGCGCGAACTTCGCGACGCCTTTCGTGTCTTCGATAAGCACAATCGTGGCTACATAACCGCCTCCGACCTACGTGCCGTGCTGCAGTGCCTGGGCGAGGATCTCGACGAGGAAGATAGTAAGTATATATATTTTGAGCCAAAGGGCCACCAAATTTTTTGTACGAATGCGAGTGGGAAGCATCTTTGGTTCCGATAGACGAACTAAGTCATCAATCTTCATGTCGGTCTGTCCGTCTGTCCGACCGCTTGCATTTCGGAAAAATTGAATTTTTTTTTATTATATATTATTATACATATGTATATATTAGCCGTCTGTCTGTCTGTGTAAAATGTAAAAGAAGGAAGACGGAAGGTTTCTCAAGGCAGCAGGGTATCTCCGAACTTGAAGAACCTTAAGCATCGAGCTGAATATAGGCCATGTCTATAGCTTAATTTACTTTCGTTACTTTCTCTAGTTGAGGACATGATCAAGGAGGTGGATGTGGATGGGGATGGACGCATTGATTTTTATGAGTTTGTACACGCACTGGGTGAGCCGGAGGACTCGCAGGAGAACGATGACGAGGAGGAGAACACTACATCACCGCTGCCCACGCCAAAGTCGACGGTCTCGCTGAGCTACGATTGAGCTTCACATCGATATTCATATGGGCGTGAAAAACTTTTCAGATATCAAATGCCATTTGCTCCTTATGCACAGCTAAACGAATTCCAATGAATAATACGCAAGTAATTTCAATAATAATTAATAGAAAAAATTCTAAAAAAAAAAAAAATACTTTACTTTATGTGCATTGGGCCACAGCATTAAAAATATTAATATAATACAAGCAAGCCAAGCAAGCTCAAATAAATTTAATTATAGTAATTACAAAGCGATAAATAAATTAATTAATAGACTCCTCTCTCTTTGTCACTCTTTTAAAATTGAACATTGAATCAAAAGTATTTATAAATCGAGACAAATCGAGCACGAATCCAACTTAAAAACTTAACAAATATGATATCTTAACTTGAATCTTTTACTAAAATTTAAAAATATCATATTGAAAATGTTGTTTGGATCATACGAAAACGGATTTTTCAAACCGAAAAACATACATAAACATATCAAAATCGCCTCTGATTAGGTATTTTCGCTGTAACTACAGAAAGAACATCAACAGCCATTCAGTCAATCACCACCAATCATTCAATCACCCACCAAAAACAAAAACCTAACCACATCGAAAACTTGCAAAAAAAAAAAAAATAAACAGAAACGAGTAATAAAAATAACAAAATTGTTGCCCAGTTTTGCGGCGCTTTTACAGATATTCAAAATAGCAACAAAAATTTAACGTTTATCCTTTTTGGGCTAAGACTTACAATAATGTATTTAAGCAATTCTTTTCTTCCAAATTCAATATTAAATAAATGCATATAAATAATACTGAATACGAATACGAATACGAATACAATTACGAATACGAATACGAATATATATGTAATACGACAAATTTATTTAGATTAATAATATGAATAGCGTCTACAAATGACAAAACTTTAATTAATATTTAATGTACACTTTTTAATTCAATCGATAACGAAATCAAAATCAAACAAAATAAATGCCAAATAAACAGAATACAAACAAATGCAGTTTGTGTTGTTCTGGAATTGTTTTGCAGCCAATTTGACAGAGTGCAGCACCAATTAATGCCCGACTGTGCAGCACAATCCAAGCGTGCACAATAACCACTTCGTATGAAAGAAGCCAAGGCCCTAATGTCAAATGACCTGCACAATTGACAGACCGAGTGCACATTGTTTGCCAGCAAATCAATGCTGAAGCAGGGTAAACGAGAACCTTTGAACTCAGCTCGCCCGACCGCTTGGGCGGCCCATTTCAGTGACCCTCAATTTGTCGTAATTCAAAAATATAAATTAACATATATTTGCGTGAGTGTCTACATGGATATAAGTATATACACACATATACTTATGCATATATTTGGCTGTCGAGTGGACACATGCCCAAAAAAAAAAAAGAAAGGAAAAAAAAGTGGGGCTACAGTTTTGTTGCCACACTCGTTGAGAGTGACAAACAGGAGCAGCGGCAGTGAAAGCAGCTTCCTTTATGGAATACTTGCCACACTGTGTGCTCTGGCAGCTGGACGTGCTGCGGTCAGCAGCGGCTGCTGCCCAAGGCGCACATTCTGGCAGCGCCAGCGACTCTGCGCTAGCAAAACTCACATTTAATGTTCATGTAAACGACACAAGTCAAGTGCTCAGCCAGCAAATTGTAAGAGGTCTTCAGATACACACACAGAGAGAGGGTGTTAACCACACACACACACACGCAGAGTTAACCACACACACACACATACATACACACACAAGTTAAGCAGCCTCTTAACGAGCTGCTTTGTGGTTCTTCGTCTACCGTGGCGTATGCGTAATATTGTTGTCACGAGCGACTATGGTTTCTTGTTTTCAAGCTAGCGCACAAAATTTAAGCACAATATCTGAAACAATAGCTAAGTTTTATGCTACACTCATTTTCTTAAAACACATTTCAGTTATTGTGTCGAGTTACTTGGCTGACATTTGATGAGCGGCCAAATCAATAGCTTCCACTTGTCAGACCGATTCTCCCCTCAAGGCCTGGCCGGGCCGGGCCTGGCCGGGCCTGGGCTGTCAATTTGTAGCCGAGCTGTGAGCTGCGAGCTGCGAGCTGCTCTCCCCAGAGGCTGGCAAAAGTTTTCTTCATTTTTTGTTTGCTTTTGCTTTCAATTAAGCCCTGAATTTGTTGTTGGCTTTTGACTGATTAACAACTTGGCCTTTGGGGGCACTTTGTTAACTCATTTTTGGGCAATTTACGCGGCTATTTAACTGGCAAACAGGCATATATTTATTTTATTACTCAACAATTTTGATGTTTGCCACAGTTAATATCTGTTTTTGATGTCTATAAATTTACGCATTTACGGCCATTATTTCTAATTAATTTTAATGAGCTCCTCAATTGAGCGAAACCCCCGCCCCACCCTTTAAATGGCGGCCCGGCCACCGTCGTCGTCCACCCACAGCTTCCCTTTGTTGGTTGTGTGCGTGTGTCTGTGTTTGTCATCGGACTGATTGATATATTGCTTATATTTTCATATTGATATATTGAAACGCTGCAAGTGCGAGTGGTGCACATTCGATTTGGGCACGGCACGTGATTTTTGTGCTTTCTGCCGAAGCACGAAAAGAAACAAAAAGCACGGTGAAATTCCAAGAACTTTTTTCGCAATCCTTTCTCTAAATATCCATTCTTATCTATGACCTAAAGTCCAATAAGAGGCAAGGATATTCCAAATAAATACATAAGTAGTTCGATTTTGGGAATACGTGCCCGACCGGGCTTGTTTCCTGCTTCTGCTCGCGCCAGGCCGGGCCTCGAGAGTTCTCGTGAGACCCGCGCCCATCTCTAGACCACATAAATCACAAACTGTGCTAACATAATTTCTGCCCCTTTCGTGGCAGCCACTCAAATACCCTTACTTTGTTTAGTTACTTCGCATTTTTGCAGAGCACTTCGTATGCGAAATTCTAGATTAGAGCCCTGCAACAATTAGCTGCAAAATGGAATTGGTTTTTTGTTTAACACACTTTTTTCTTAACTCCAAAACTCAATCGAACAAGACTACAGAAGCATGAATATTACAGTGCGTTATTAAGATTACAGAACCATTTTTTGGTCGCGTTTCGATAAGTATCTATTTATAGACACAGTTTTTTAAGCCCGTACTCGAAAATTAAATTTAAAAAGTTATAAAAAAACACCAAGCTTGCTATAGAGGCTCTTGTATGGTCAATACAGATAAAGCATATTTCACTTTTTTGATTACTCGCTCATTCCTCCATTAAATGGAAAAGAAACCGATTGTTGAAGGTCGATCCTTCCAAAATACCCATAAATGTCGAGCTATGACATTTATATTATATTATAAATATATATTAAGTATTTATTAAAGGTCGAGCTGGGCTTTGCTCACTTTTCTATGCTCAATTTAAGTTCTGAAAATTTCATAAGGATCGGAATACAAACACCAAAATTAATCAAGAACGCATGTCTCATGCATTTGGTGGAGCAGAGAGAGCAACTAATTCGTGTGCATGTACTGAAGGCATAGAATGTATGGAGGGTATCTGCCCCTCAAGCAGTCCCGACTTCAGCACCCTTCATATACCTCATAGAGGGTATTATAGTTTTAAAAAAAAAAATGTGTGGGAGACATCTCATAAAGTATATAATAAATATATATGTATGTACATCTCCATCTGTCCGTCCGTTCGTCCGTCTGTTTGCCAGTGTTTCCGTGTCTATCTATTTCAATGCAAACTAGTCTCTCAGTTTTAAGGCTAACGCCTTGAAACGTTGCATAGGTAACGTCGGTAATGGCGGAATTGGTCCACTATATAGGAACGTCAAAGGAAAGATCGGTCGAAAAGCAGATTCTTGTAAAGGCAACATGTTAGCTAAACAGAACTATGCTGTTCATGTATGAGTCAATTTTCTATTTTCCAAGGAATTTTCATTAAAGCAAACACTTCCTAGCTTCGCTATTCTCACATATAAGCATAATCGTAAGACAAATGTCTAGAAGGGTATTGGATCTTCCGCATGCCGAAAATATTCTTAGTTTATCGTTTTATTTATTTTTTTTTTTTTGTATTATATTTATACTGCATGCATTGCCATAATAAATACATAATTACGATAATATTAAAAGCATTGTCGCTGGCTAAACGACCATAAATCAGATAAGTTTCAGTGCGAAATGGGGCGAAAAGTAAGTGGGCAGGTTCCTTGAGCACAAACAGGACACTGCGATGCGGTAGGAAGGATGCTGAGCTAATCAAAATTGAATGTTCCTATATGGGATATATACTTATAATCAGTTATATGGCTGTTCGGGCAGTCCGGTTTGTGTTTTAAACTTTTAAATCAAATTTATTAACTGTAATTTATGGTGTGTGATTATCGGGAAAAGAGTTTTGTTTTATATATAATATATATTCATATCTATGACAACGACTGCAACACTGTTCAATTCTTCTTTTCTTTAATCACCATCATTGATTTTTTTTCTTTTTTGTTGTGTGCGTGTGTATGTGTGTGTGCATGTGTGTGTGCATGTGTGTGTGTGTGTTTGCATGTGTGTGCTCTTGGCTGTTGTTGTTGCAGCTGCTGAGGTTAGCCGCTAATCCTTGACAATTAGCTTGGCCCGCAGCAGCTTTTCCAACTTCAAGCAGAACTCGGATTTGGCAATGCCCGTATCCAATAACACTTCCCCATCCCGTCGCCTCCTGACCGTCAGCGGTGGATCAACGGTGAGCGGTGTCTGCCGCCCGGACCGCTGCTGTTCCACTACATTCAATGGTGGCGTCACCGCACCCGTCCCAGGCGATTGCCTACCACCGCTGCTGCCGATGATGCCGCCACCAGCACCACGCAAATAGTTGTAGCCCGGAAGCCAGCGGCGCAGCAGACGGTCCAATCTGGCCAGTGGTCGCAGCTTGGACACGCTGCTGTTGCCGTTGATTATATCAACGCCGCCGCTGCCGCTGCCACTGCCACTGCCACTGCTGCTGCTGCTGCTGCTGCTGCTCGCGCTGCTGCTGCTGCTTGCGCTGCTGCTGCTGCTGCTGCTTCCGCCAGCACTATTAGTCTGGACGAGCCCGCAGTCCGGTCGCATCTGGTGCCCGACCATGTTGCTTGTGCGGCTGCTGCTGCGGCGTGACATCTGATTCGGCATGGAAGTATTTTTTGGGGTTGTATTTTCTGAAATAATTCTTATTGTGCTGACCCAATTATAAAAAATGACAATTCCAACATTTCGGCCAGCTTCAAGTTTCGGCATTGACAGAGCCCACCCAGGCCAGCCTGATTGTGACTGTGACTCTGCCAGTGTGTGAGTGAGTAAGTGTGTGTGTGTGTCTGTGTGTGTGTGTGTATGTGGGTATATATATATCCTCTATATATGTAAGAGCTTGGCCCGTTTGACTGATTAACAGAGTGTTCGGTGTTCATTTTGTGTTTCTGAGACATTTAATGGATTTAGTGATGTCTTTGCCAGAGTTCAAATTAAACAACGTTTTTTAATCCAATGCTAAATATAATCATATCATTAAGAACATCTCTTAAAAATTCAAAAATATATATTATTTTTTTTTTAATATACAATCCGTTTACGTAAAGATTAGCCTTCTTGCACTCTATAATTTGTTCAAGATTCGTTATTAGATTGGAAAAATAAAACCCTTTTGGCAAATATTGCCATTTCTGATTTATTAACACTGCTTGTCCATATTCGTGATACGTACGAGTGGAAAAATTGTAGATCTTTGCAGTGGCGGACTTGCAAATTTGAATTCCTTAATGCCAACTAACAGTAGCTATCCATAATGAAAGCTGCTGGCTAGCAAAAAAAAATAAAAACGGATTTTCAAAAATTCCAAATGCAGGTGTGAAACAATTGATGAAAAACTATTGACTACAACTTTTTCTAGTAGCATGCCCAATTGTGGTTAAAGTTCATTTTCAAATTTCTAAGTAAAAGTATTTCAAACTTGATGCATCGTTTGCGGAAAATCCACTTCGCTTAGCTCAAAGTAAAATAAATAAATTCATGGAGTTAAATGGAAAGGGGATGCATACAGTTTAAAGAAGAAAACAAAAACACTTGATACGGGCAAAGCCGGGTACTAATAATCGTATATATGTGTGTGTGTGTGTGTGGAGGTACGTGCTGATAGATCACAGCAGCTATGCCATTGCGGTACGTACGTGCCGCTCCTGCTACTTTTGCTCTCCTGCATGCAGCATGCTGCATCCTGTGTGCCGCATGTTGCATCCTGCTGCTTGATTTGTCGCTGGGTATTATGCGCTTAATGTGTGTGTGCGTGTGTTTGTATTTGTGTGTGACCCCTGAATGACAAGGCACTTTTAAGCCATGCAACGACAGTGGCAAGTGCAACCAACCCAAAAACACCTCCGCCGCCTCTTCCTCATCCCTCATCCGAATAAATCTACACAGATAAATGGCACGATTGCAACTTTAAGATTCGCTTTGAAAAACTTATGTTTGCTGTTGGAGAGATTGCAAATATTTTTTATTCTTTAAGAACTTAACAATTTTTATATACTTTTAATTATTATGTTCAAGTCCAAAGTCTCTTGTTTCTTTCTTATATGACTCTCAGCCAAACTGGTTTCCACTTATTAACCAGCTTAAGCCGCAAATTTCAATCTTTTTATCTGTATTAGTCGGCCATTTTAATGGTTAGATTCATTTATGGGGTGTTTTACAATTTTCGAAGAAATGGAGGTCCGAGATTTGTTGGTTGCCATTTCGCGCTCAATTTAATGTCCAAGGATTTATATGGAGAATCATTTAAAACATGTTTGACATTTTTAGCAAAATCAAAGCTTCCTCGGTGGAAATCCGATTTTCAGAATGTTTACAAAAGTCATGCAAAAATCGTACCATCAAATATTCTAAATGGACATAGGTCAAAGTTTCCTCCCCCCCCCCCCCCCCCCCCCCCCCCCCCGTAACATGATCAAATCTCAAACGATTTTCACGAGATTTGGGCCTTTTTTTTATGGCTTCGCCTCTAGATAAAAATCGGTCAAAATTATTGTAGGTAAAAGTACATTTAAAAATGCAACCTTCAAACGAAAAACGTATTTCATTTTCAAATTTTATTTTACACTAAACCAAATAAACTGAGTGTAGCAAAAGTTTCAATAAATGCAACTGGAACTAGTTTTTAAGCTCAATATATTTCAGTTTTAAATGCAAGTGAAACAGGAACTAATTACAAACAAGCTCCACGAATAGAACAGAATATAGAGGATAGGGATACAAGCGGGGGCAACCAAACAAGGCAACAAATCTAATTTGCCACCGCATGTGGCACACGTGTGTGCATGTGTGTGTGTGTGTGTGTGTGTTTGTGTGTGGCACAAAAGTAAACAATAATATTCAATGGAACACCACGCTCACATAATATAATACATAATAAAACTGCGTCAAGTTTTAGTTGCGGCCAAGGAAAGGGATTGCGGCCAAAAGATACTCCAGCAGTTGCTGCTGCTATATACATACATACATACATACATACATATATATATATATATATATATATATAAATATGTATATGTATTTGTTGCTTTGCTTATCTGAAAGCGTTATAATTGAAAAAGTTTTGCGCTGTGTGTGTCGCTGGCTTCCACTTGACTTGCCGTTCACACTTAATATTTCACTTAGAGGAGCCGCATCCGCCGCCTTAAGACTGTTGCCTCTTAGCCTGGCTTGGCTTGGCTTTGCCTTTGACTATGGCATAAAGATGGCAGATAGGCATGGGCATGGGCATGGGCACAGGGCGTGGCGCTGCCATTATGTGGCTCTCACTTGGCAGCCAGCAGGGAGATGACAGTGTGGGCCAGGCCCCAAGCCCACAAAGCCACTTAACAGCCGAGCAGCTGACATTGACAGACAGCTGTGCGCGAGCAACAATACGATCTGATCTTACCGAAGCTACATACATATAGCTGTAGCTCCATTTGGGCCGCAACCTGCCAGGGCTTATGCTCTATCTCTTAGATATGTTTTATGTGTTTGTTTGTGTATCTTATTGTGTTTATCATGCTCATCTTGTTATTCATTATTTACACGCTGCACAGGAGCTACCGGAGTCGAAGACATTTGCGCCAATTTGCATATTTCAAATTAAATTGCTGCACGATGCTATGGAAATTGAGCGCAGCACAAGAGAACACAAAACAGACACTGAAACTGAAACTGAGACGGTGGCAAAAAAAAAAAAAAGAAAAAAAAATACAAATACAAATATACATAAGAGAAAACGCCAAAAGCATCTTAAACAAATTTTAGATCAAGATTTCATTTAAGGAAATTTCTATATTTAAATTTAATAAAATTAAGCTGCCAGCTCTAAGAAAATGCTACTCCACAATTTTCGTACATAAATCGTTTTTCAGGGGCAAAGCATTTAACTGTAAATGCTTTCGTTCGTAATTGTTTAATGCAATTTTTAACTATAATTTAAAATATCACAGAGATTTAAACACGAAAAATGTTCGGCATGCCGAATATTTAATACCCTTCTATACACATAGACCTATGAGAAAATTGACAAGTACAAGATTCGGTTCGTCTTGATAAACTACAATTGTTGTTCATTCAGAAACCTATATTTCGACCGATCGTACCTATAACAGCTATATAATATTATCGGCCGGTTCGGACGGATCCCACATTTGTACTGCCTGTCTTTCTGCTGAAAGACGGAACTATGCACAGTTCCATCACAATTGCTTTACAATTCAGACTAGTTTGCTTAGAATAGTCATCGATATATAGATATGGCTTAGCATTTGACTTACCTGTTTTTTGTTCCCAATGCTTCCTTTAATTTTCGTTAATCGTAGCTAGAGCTCAGTGTCAAGTAGACAGTCGGGTGGCTCTCAATAGCGCTGCCCGCCTCCAGGAGAGGCCTAAGGATCAGGTCCTTTTCACTGTCACCTCTAGAGTCGGCTAACTTATAGGCTATCATCAGGCAAGTTCAGCGCAGGAGAGTTGCAGGAATAAACGCTGACACTCTAGACCTGGCTGCTGAAGCTCTAGCTCCAAGATGCCTCTGGACTCAGATGAACTTGTTTCTCGAATCCTTGTAGAAATTGCACAATTTTGCTTAAGGATGGACGTGTGCAGCAAAATTGTATTGCGCAGGCCGTGGTATCGGTTCTTGCTTCGCAGCTTTAAGCTTAGCTCCTGCTCAGCTTTGAATCTGGCTGGTTTCTCTCACGTACCCAGGTAGAGACCTATAACGATAGCATTATGATAATATTGTTATTATTATGATTGAAGAAATATAAGGAATTAGTTTACCTAAATTTATAAATTAATATGGCATTCAAATCAATGTCAAACCCTTTCAAATGGTTTTAGAGGTTTTTTGCAAAACATTTATTTTTGTGCTGAACTTTTGAAATTTAAACGTATTTCATGTTGAAAATGTTAATGCTGTTTTGATTATTAATTTATGTCCGTAGGCCAATTAAGCCTTTTGTTTGGGCCCGTTAATGGGCTGCTAATTAATTTGTAAGCAGGCCGCATAAAATGCGATAAGCCACCTTTCACAAAACAGTTTTTGGCGCAACGCATTCAATGCCAATACAAATGATTAATCCACAACTTATGCACAGCCAAACACACTCAGTTGCGCGCATGTGTGTCAGGGTGCTTGTGTGTGTGTCTGTGTATGTGGGTGTGGGTGTATGCCGTTTCCGTATCCGTGCAAAAACAAAAAAAAAAAAAAAACAAAATGGCTGGCAACAAAAGCTATAGCAAACCACGACTGGCTGCCGTTGCAGTTGTCAGTTGGCAAACGGAAAATATTAAGTTACATAGCCGCTTAGGCAGGCTCAGGCAAGGACAAGCTTGCCAGGACATCGCATGCTGGCAACGGAAGTTTGGCTCACACACACACACACACACACACACATACGCACACATACAGGCAGACGCACTTGAAGGTTACCAGCCTGTGCTGTCTGGCCGCTTAGCCACTAGACTTGCAGCTTAAATTACCTAAAGTGTTGCCTACTTTGCGGCGACCCCACAAGTGCCAGCGAGAACTAAAGAAAAGCCCACACAAAAGCAGTGAAATTGAGCGGGGAAAACCTCTTATTAATCAGAATTTAGATAAAGCAAACGCTGGTGTTGTCAGAATTAATTAAGCTTACAGCTGTAACTAGAGTAAAAATTTACGTTAGCTCTTACGGATTGGGCTGTGCGTTGATCACCAATCACTTACTCACTCAGTCAGTCAGTCAGTCAGTCTAGACTGATTGAAGCACTGAACGATGTTAGAAATAGATACATTCGAGCATTACCAAGTGTTGAAGCAAACCACATTTGGAATAATCAGCTTAACAAAATGAATACATTTTAGGCCAAAGCATTTAACACTTGCGAGCAGGCAACATCTGAAATATTGATGCACGGCTGGGGTAGCCCAAAATCACTACAGGAATTAGGTATAGGAATTAAACCAAAGGCCAAAATCGCTGCAGCTTCATAACTCACATGTCTAATAATCAATTAGCCCAACGCACTTACCACAATTTCGTGTGGTTAACAGGAAATGTGCATGCGCATGTGTGCGTGAGTGTGTGTGTGTAAGTGAAAGAGCTCCTAATGAGGCAGTCATAATTGCCTGCACACTGGCAATCAGAACCAGAGAATGCAGCCACAAGATGCAGCTGACTGCGGCGCGAATTTATGAAAAAAAAAAATATATGTATATATTTAAGAAAATATTAAAATTAATAAAGAATATCGCATAACTATCAACAAAATGAACCAAGTAAACTCTTTAAATTCAGCAGAAGATGGTGAACAAAAATTAAACGAAATAAAATTTTGTTTCATAGCTGCGATTTGAGGCATTTTTCTTTGTTGAAGACAAACAAACTTTCGTGTCAAAATTGTCTGTCATGCTCATTACAAGCTTAAACTGGATTAAATTTTGACTACCTTTGTACTTTTTCTTGAAATAACAAACTATACAGTCCGGCATAACCGACTACATTATTTTCCTTACAGTCCAAAAACAGCTTCAAACTAATTAAACCAACATAAAATAACCAAATATTTCCAGAAACAATTACGTTTTCATCTAAATTTAGATATTTTTATCAAAAAGATATTATTAATAGGAATATTACTATTAAACTCGGCTTAAGCTAAAAATAAGTTGAAGTATAGTAAAACTTAAATTGTGGCGTT